GGGAAGGGAGTGGGGGGGGAAGTCGGGATCAGGGGATCGGAATCAGGCGATAAGGTGGAGGGGCGCGATGGGATTGGTTGATCGAGCGACGGGGGCGGAGGGAGTAGGGGTGATTGCGCGGGAGGGGGAAGAGTGAGGGAGCTGCGCGGGGCGTGCACAGGCAGAGCGCGGGGGAAGGACAGAGCAGAGCGGGAGGGGGAAATGGTGAGGGAGCCGCACGGGGAAAGGAGCAGGGCGGGGGAAGGAGTGGCGCGGGTAAAAGGAGTGGGGTGAAGTCGTTTGTGTGTGTGTATGTGTGTGTTGCCATATTGTGTGTGTGTGTGTGTGTGTGTGTGTGTGTGTGTGTGTGTGTGTGTGTGTGTGTGTGCGTGTGTGTTCGCGGGGGGGAGGCGACCCCCCCACTGATAATCATTCAATCAATCAATCAATCAATCAATCAAGGATTTTTATTTTTTTTTCCCATTTTTTAATTTTACTTTACAATCAATCGATCAATCAATCAACTAATCAACCAATCATTGAATCCATCGACCAATCAATCAATCAATCAATCTTTTTTTTTTTCTTGTTTTTTTTTTACACCCGGATTTAAAAAAAATAAAAAATCTTTTTGTTTTATTTTTTTTGAATGGTGGGGTACCCCCCGACGCTCGAACCCCCCCAGCACTTTCACCCCCTCAACACCCCCCCAGCACATTCACCCCCTCAACACCCCCCCGCAAGGCCATGTACGAGGGACCCAAAGTCCGTACAGGGGGCTGGGGGCCCGTATGTACGGTCGTACGGGAGTACGTACAGCCCGTATACGTACGACCGTATACACAGATGGTCATGAAGTGGTGAAAGGTCCGAAGACCCTGAAAACCACCTGTTTAGGGAGGTTGCATCCTGAAGTGGTGAAGGGTGTCCTGAAGTGGTCAAGTGAGAGTTTTTGGCAGTCTGAAAATGCTGAATGGTCATGAAGTGGTGAAAGGTCCGAAGACCATGAAAACCACCCTTCACCACTTGAGGATGCAGCCTGCCTAAACAGGTGGTTTTCAAGGTCTTCGAAACTTTCATCACTTCAGGACCATTCAGGATTTTCAGACCTGAATGGTCCTGAAGTGGTGAAAGGTCCGAAGACCCTGAAAACCACATGTTTAGGCAGGCTGCATCCTGAAATGGTGAAGAGTGTCTCGAAGTGGTGATGAAAACACGACTGTTGTTAACCTTCTCTCCCGTGCATAGGACTCTCTCTCCCTTCTTCGTGTCGTTGGTTATGTTTTCCCCCCCAAAAGGGGGTTCATACAGAGGTTGTAATCGCTTGAAATTTTGAGCGTTGAAGGTTGTAGAGGGATCCGAAGACACCCTGCTCCCTGGTATTCCACAGGGAGACACAGCCCCATGTCGAGGCTGAGGGAGATGGTCGGACCTCAGGAGTACCGAGTACTCCATAGCTCCGTCCCAACGCCCCGTAACATGTGCCTTGCTGTCGACGCAGAGCGCCGTTTCCCGACGATGATGCCATCGGTAACGCAACGCTCCCACGAAGCGCTGCGCCCTCTTCTCCAAATTCCTTGGAAAAATGTGAAAACCCTCTCAGAGAATTCCTTGGGTTCCTCAGAATCCCCAGCCAAAACATCCTGGGATTGTAGGAGTCCTCGCGAGTTCCCTTGGGCTCAAGGAGCCGCGATTGACGGATCGTTGTGGAGCGAGCGCCTATAGCAGAATTTGGAGTCGATGGTGGTATAGAGGTCGTTCGTTGTCCATCAGGCGGACACTGCCATTGGCCGGTCGGGGTCATGAGAGATCAGCAGAAAGTTGGTCGGAAGGTACGGAACTGCAAAGTCATCCAAAGGTCTCCTTTGCCACGCGGGCTCGTTCGCCCTCTAGTTTATCCATCGTGTATTGAGGTCATCCATCAATTCAGAAAAAACCTCGTGAGGGTCTTGCCAGATCTGGCGATAGGACTCTCGCAAAGCTTCCTGGAGAGCGGGGTCCCTTTCATTTTGATGGTCCTGTTTCATATCCTTCCAGGCCCGATGTGTACTGGATCTGATCTCTTCTTCTATCGCTTGTTGTGCTTGCTGCAGGCCTAACTGATGCTCTTTTCTCTCAAAGGAACATCTAGCTCTCCAGGCTTGCATGAGGACGTGTAGCCTCATATACGAAAAAAGGTTATTGGCGAAGGGTGACCAGTGGGCTAGCAGATGTTGATTTTTGCCAAGCAGGATAAGGCCCAGGTCCCACGGGATATGGGTATCTGTGAGTGAATGGAACGCTGCGGCCCACCACCTCCATATCTGGGCAGCCATCGGGCATGCCAACAGGCAATGTTCGAGTGTCGCCCTGCCACAGTAGGTGCAGATGGGGGACAGCAGGCATCTCTGTTCGAGGCCGGTTCTTGAGACGAGCCAGTCGGGGGTGGGATGGGAAGACAGCGGTGCAAAATTTGCCATTGCAGGGACCTAAGGCTCGTCGGCATGATTTTGGAGTACTTAGCCCAAGGGAGGTTATTGAGCAACTGTGGATTCAACGGTGAATCCCGCTCCCATCTGTGTGCAATTGTCTGTCCGATCTGCTGCTGTGGGCGAGACTCTCTGTACCCCATTTTGACTGTGTAATCCCAAATATGCATGGGTTGTTGACCCGCCCATTCCCAGTCATCTGGGTCGAACGGAAGACGGGCAATCGGCGTGGCAACCCGCGTGGCAGGCTCGAACGCATGGTAAGAAACAACTTGTGTTTCAAAAGTGTTGTGGCCGGGGGTTTTGTTGAGTTTGATAGGTTGTTTTGGAATGTTCAAGTTGCGTCTGTTTTGTTAATTTTTGGGGTTTCCTGTAATAGGATAGATTCTAGCTGAGGAGAATAGGCTGGGCTATCTCTGGACAGGAAGGGGTTTTTCTTTCCCGGGAAATGGTGGGGGCCCGGCCCCAACTTTTCATGAGCAATCAAGTGTTTTTTTTTCTCGAAAAAAAAAAAAAAAGAAAGTGTTGTGGCCCGGCCCTTACACATTTGGTAAGTTTTGCAGGGAGGTGCTTTGTGTGCAAGAACCGGCGCCCGCGGCCATCCGCAAGTGGGCGACCGCCCGTAACGCGACAAAACAGGTGCCTGATGTTCGTTACAGTAACAACAACTTGGGCCTGCAGCAGGCGCCGCATACGCGGCAGGGTGCAACAAAAGTGAAAACAAAAAAAAAAAAAAACGCGGCAGGGTGATGTGCCGGGACGCCTCTCACACAGGCACGGGCGGATAGTGCCATTGCATCTTCGGGGATCTGAGGGCATACTTACATTAGCACTTGCCTGTATGTATATGACCGCTTTTCCGACCCACCGTGGATGCGCCTGACCGCAATTATGTCCAAGAAGAAGTGGACAAAGTCCTAGTGTGAGTCAACGGTTGGAGTTGGTTGGTGTGAGTGGCGAGCATCCAGCGAGCGAACCTGCCCGCGCCCCCCACCCCCGCGCCGAGGCGCCACCCAGCATTGTCACGGGGGCGGCGCTGTTGGGTCCGGTGGTTGGATGACTTCCGTTGGGCCGACCAACCTGCCCTCACTGCATACTCACACCACCGGTAGCACTTTCGGAAATGCATCTTACGGCAATTACAGCCAGAAGTGCACGAACCTAGCCGGAACTACGTCCACAGGGTAGAGGAAAAAGTCCTATTGTGAGTGTGCCCTCAGTGTTCACCAGTTTGGGGTCGACCAACCTGCCCTCGGTGTTCTCTCCGCCCTGGCGCACCCTCGAGCCAGCGCCTCGGTGCGTGTCCTTCTGCTCGCCTGGGGCTATGGTAGGTCCCACCAGGAAAGAGAATTGGATTTAACGCCTGAATCTAGACGTGTCTGTGGAATGGTGCCGAATGATGCAGAAAATCGAGATTGAACTGATTTTCTGCATCTCTTCTCAAAGCACATCCAGATTCAGGAGCTTAATCCAATCCTCTTTGCTAGTGGGACCTCGCCCTTGGTGACGGGCGGTCGTGTGTGTCCTTCTCTCCCGTGCCCAAGAGTGGAACTTGTTGCTCGTTGGGCCAAGGCCGTAGTCGCAGTACTCGCCATCCGCCAAGATTTCGAATGCATCTGGACAAACTGATATCCACATGCAATCAAAATGTTGGTGGATGGCGAGTAGAGCCCCAAGATGCATTGGCAGGTCCCACTGCCGCGCAAGACGCCGTGCTGCAGTGCGGTGCAAGACGACGTGCTGCAGCCTGCAGGTGATATGTATTTGTAAATACGATATCTATTGCGTTTGCCTGGTGCAAGAGCGACTTGGGAAGTAGGGAGGGTCCTTCGGGACATCCGGTAAAATTGGAACGATACAGAGAAGGATAAATTAGCAAATGGCCCCTGCGCAAGGATGACACGCATAAATCGAGAAAGTAGGGAGGAGAGTCGGAGAAGCTGAAGAGCGGCTTGGAAAGTAGGGAGGAGAGTGGGAGAAGCTGATAGGAGAGCGGGGCAGATAGGAGACTCTGAGTGAATGAGGCGGAAGGACCTTCATGTAAGACGTTCCGCAAAATCTACTTCTCTATGGGTAAAGAAGAGAGATAGGGAACCGACTGTTCGGTTGATCTCCTCGACTGGCAAGTGATTGTGAGAACCAAAGGAAGTAAGCAAGAAAGGTGTGTAGGGTAGCGAGCAATAAAGAATAGGAAGGGAGGGAGGAAAGAAGAGAAGAGAAGAGAGGACGTCCCAGGCTCTGTGAAGATGGATGACTTCGTGTGCGTGATCGATTCATTCCGGAAGATGCAAATGACTGAGTCAGAGTGCTATTTGAATGCTCTGAGCAAGCTTCTGGGCTACATGATAGTTGTCTTCTCCGCCGTACTGAAGCTCCCACAGGTAAGAGTGCGAGTCAGCCGGCCAGGCATTGTGCCCGCCCGCAGGCCAGCTCCCAGCCAGCAAGATTGGTGACGTGCAAGCCAAGATTGCAGCTGACCTCTTCGATCTTTGGGTGTGTGCTTATATGTGCGTCTATTGTGTGTGTGTGTGTGTGTGTGTGTGTGTGTGTGTGTGTGTGTGTGTGTGTGTGNGAGAGAGAGAGAGAGAGAGAGAGAGAGAGAGAGAGAGAGAGAGAGAGAGAGAGAGAGAGAGAGAGAGAGAAAGAGGAGTTGCTTCACCCTTCCGGCCATCTCCATGTACGCCCTTTCCCGAGGTTCTATCTGTATCGCTCGTGCGGGAGCTGTCTGAAATGGAGTTTGTACGAGACAGATATCTTCTCCTCCTCATCCCCGTCCTCGTTTTTCTTGTTCTTGTTCTTCTTTTTCCTTCTTCTTCTTCCTTTTTTTTTTTTTTTTTTTTTTTTTTTTTTTTTTTTTTTTTTTTTTTTTTTTTTTTTTTTTTTTTTTCCCCCGTTGGTTGTTCATAATAATTACTGCTTTCACTGTGGTGATTGGTACTACGAATCTTGCGTATTTTCATATGTGATTCTCGAAATTGTCCCCTCGCTTTTTTCTTTCTGTTTTCTTTCTTCACGTCCAGAGGGCATGCTAATCTTCTGTGTATTTTCTTTCCAATTTTAACGGATATTCTTTTGCCATTTTCTGCGCACCGCAATGTCGGCCGTCTCGTCGTCTGTGCGTATTCGGATCATGTTACACAGGTTTCCATTTTGTTTTTTCTTTCTTTTTTTATGTATTTATTTATTTATTATATGTATTCATCTTATTCCACTAGGATTTGAACACTAATGCACCGCAGTGTCCTTTTTGCGTATTCGGATCACATTGCACAGGTTTCTTTTCTTTCCTTTTTTTTTTTTCAGTTTTGTATTAATTTGATTCCGCTAGAGGATTCGAACAGTAGTTTTTTTTATATTTTTTGTTTGCTAACAATTGCGCCGATCAGCCACATGGGCTGGGTATATATGTTCCTTTAGGTTCTCCGTAATGCGCTCCCCGGAGCTTGGCCCCATTCACTGTTCTTTCGTCGTCCGCTCTGTTTTTTTTCGTTTTTTCTGTTTTTCGTGTGGTCCAATGGACCACGGATCAGATATTAGACTGATCAGAACAGATACAGTGCACTTGATCTCACTTAGCCAAAAGGCCGAGAAAGGTATTCGCTCTGTTTTTTTTTTTCTGTTTTGCTTGTTCGTTTTGCTTTCTTTGACACGCGGTTAGGCGGCGGGTCGCAGTCGCTGGACTACAATGATGAACGAACGTCTTGTCTTGTGGAAGGAGCCTTCTTATCGACCTGCGCTTGTGTGTGGGCTTCACTCCACCACTCACCGAATGTGCAAGTTGAGATTAGTGCATCTTCGGTAGAACATGGGAAGGAACGCAGGCATAAATTTTTGTCTTTTGTGCGTGTGGAGATTAGTGCAGCGAGGCCCGATGTGCGTGTATAGTACTCCTGTTGGCGGCAATATCTATCTGTCGATTTACAGTATGTACATGTTTTTTTTTTCCCCACTATTCTTTTCCCCTACCTTTTTTTTGTCCTTTGCTTCCCTTCTTTAAAGGGCATCATCATCGAGTTGACCAGTCCCAGGTAGTTCAGAATTACTAGTATGTCGTTGTATTCATCTTTTTTTTTTTTTTTTTTTTTCAGAAAGCAGAAATGCACTCGTTGTATTCATCTAGGTCCATCAGGATTCGAACTCGGGTCTGTAATTCAACAGATCATGGGTGTGTAATAACAGTTGCTAGTCTTCCCCCGAATACAACGTACGGTCATTATAGCTGAATTTAGAGGGAAAGATGCCCCAAATTCAGCTATAATGACCGTACGGTGTATTCGGGGGAACACTGTAGTCCCGTTGGTGCATGTGTTTGATCGATTCATTACAGTACAGCTAGGCCCGTTGGTAAATGTGTTTGTTCGATTCATTACAGTACAGGGGGATTCCTGTTTTATGTTTTGATTTCCCTCTGTTGGTTTGTTTTGAACGCAGCAATAATGCATTACAGAACAGGGGGGGATTCCTCTTCGGGAAAGGATGCACCGCAATGAACAGGGGGGATTCCTGTTCGGGAAAGGATGCACGGCAATAGGAATTCATTACAGAACAGGGGAGAATCCTGTTCGGAGGAAAACCTTTTTCCTTGGCTGGAACAACGAGGCCAAGCTCGAAGCTTTTTCTTGTCAACCCAACTATGGGCGCAGGTAGTGACAGATAGCAGTAGCATTTTTTTATTTTTTTTTGCATAATGAGAAAGAAAAGAGAAAGTTATTATGGTCATGGATTTGGACTCCCCCTATTAGATCTCCCTATATCAGATCTGAAAAGTATGGTGTTGGAACGAAGGTCGTTCGCCCCTCCCTCTCTTCACAATGCATATGTACGTGCGTGTGTACTAGGTGCACAGGCGGAACCAGGTTTCCATCGAAGGTCGGTTCTTGATTTTCTAGCAGATCTTGATTTTCTAGCAGATCTTGATTTTCTAGCAGACTCGATGGTAAAGCTTCTTGGTACGATGGGAGAGGGAGAGATCTCGGCGGTTGATCAAAATTTTGAAAATTTGGCCAGAATGTCCCTGTCAGGATTTCGAAGTTGGTATCGGGATTCTTCCAGGTGGGTTGTGACACGGTATCCCGATTGCCCCTACCCACATGGCACGATGGGAGAGGGAGAGATCTCGGCAGTTGATCAATATTTTGAAAATTTGGGCAGAATGTCCCTGTCAGGATATCGAAATTGGTATCGGGAATCGGGATTCTTCCAGGTGGGTTGGGACACGGTATCCCGATTGCCTCTATACCCACATCCCTTCTTTCCTCCTTACGTGCAACCCCCTGAATCGTGCTCCCCCCCTGAATCGCTGGATCCGGGGTGCAGAATTGATTCCTCTTTCTTCTCGACAGTGTTTAGGCAAAGGACAGGAGACTGCCTCGGTCAGAGGGAGACATTAACAGGCGAGGCCAGCGGGATCTGGCCTAGCAATGGCAACACGGAGTCTTGTGAGGCAGGAATTCCCGCCGCCATAGCCAAAGCTGCGCAGCGAGAGGAAGAAGGGCCAGCCATAGCCGGAGAAGTGGAGTCAACGGCGGAAAAAACACACAATAGAAGATGGGCGCACTGCACTCATCCCCCTCCACCAGTCCCATGTGGGTCGACTCTGGCCCCTACGTTCCACAACTCGGTCGATGCGCGCCGAGTTCCTCGGTTATTTCTTCTGCAGAGATTGGCCGTTGTGTGCCACGTGGACGATTCTTGTCGGCTGCGCGTGAGGCCCCCCTCCTCCCTTGAGGTGGGGCGGGGAGGGGCGGGGCGGGGCGTGCTCTTTTCCCACACAGTCACATCGTTCCCGCTTTTTTCATCGACACGCCATCAGGAATAACTACTAGTGTCTTCCCCCAAAGTCAACGCACCCTGATAAAGCATGTTAGAGCTATTTTTCCGGTCCGGTGCAGCCAAAACGAGGGTGCGTTGTGTTCGGAGGAAGACGGTAGCATCATGTCTGCAGCCTGCTCTCAGCCACGCTCTCGGAACTCAGCCACTGATCAAACCTCGGCCATTTATCAATCTGTCATCACGTGGTCATACTTCTCTCACCTTGTTTTTTTTCTGTTTTTTTCACCTTTCTACTCCCTTCTCTCTGCCAGTCTTGATCTACGTGTTGGCAGATCTCGTCTGCCCTTCATCACATCAGTGGCATTCTTGCTTCCAATTGCTGGGCTCCTGCCGATCGATCTGTCATGCACCTTTCTACTCCGTTCTCTCTGCCTGTCTTGATCTACGCGTTGGCAGAGCTCTTCTGCCCTCCTTCACATCGATGGAGTTCTTTGCTTCCAATTGCTGGGCGCCTGCCGATCGCTACTAAAGTAGGCAGCATGAGCCTGTGAGAGACGAGATGCTGTCTTGAACTACCGCTACCGCGTTGGCACAGCTCTTCTGCCCTTCTTCACATCAATGGAGTTCTTGCTTCCAGTTGCTGGGGGGTTCCTTCCGATAGCGTCCACCAAGGTAGGCAGCAGTGCAGCACCTGCCTGAGAGAGGAGGAGAGGAGGAGAGGCTGTCTTGAACTACGTGTTGGCACACTTTTTCTGGGGATAATTGGTGGAAAAAGCGCCCACGTCAAAACCTTTTGGGTTTTTGGGCCGCCCAAAATCGCCCAAAATCATAAAGGTGTTGGCGTGTGCGCTTCCCACCAATTATCGCGCTCTTTCTGCCCTTCTTCACATCAGTGGAATTCTTTTCTAGTTGCTCGGTTTCTGCCGATCGCGCCTCCTAAGGTAGGCAGTACCAGGCTGCGGGAGGATCGGCTTTTGCGGATGACCACGTGGGTTTTGAAAGTATAGCTACCGCTAGCTTCCTCGCTTGTGGTGTTCATGGATCCGGCCAGTGCGGTCACCACTTCCCCTGCCCCTCCCAATATTCCCTTCCTTCTGATTGCTGCCAACTGTGGTAGGGAATATAACCGCGTGCGCCATGCTTTTCCCTGCATATATAGCTCAGATTGACGGTCAATCCCAGAAGCAGTATGTTCATTTCCTCCCCCCCCCCACCCCCTGTTTTTTTGGAAGCAACAAGATACTCGGGTCTTCTTGCCTCTCAAGTAGTAGATTGACGATCGATTCGCGTGTCGAGGACCTATGCCGCTTGCTGTTTTGCAGCAGGGAACTGCGTCGGCGGGTACCTCTAGTCTTATCTATTCTGACGCAGAGGATTGCTTGCGTCTGTAGCGTGGGATCTTTCTCGTTTTGTGACGACGAAGGTACTGTCACGGCATATTCACTCAGGACTTCCAAGTGAATGTGGTTATCAGATACTATGTATGCAGTTTGGCTGTGAACACCGCCCTTGAGCGGATGGTAATTTTTTATTTTTTATTTATTTTTTTCCATATATTATGCGTGTCATCCTTGCGCAGGGGCCATGCTAATCTTCTCTGTATCGTTCC